CACATGTTGAGTTATGAAAGAATCTGAAATTAAAACCTATACCGAGAAATTAAATCCAAAATAAAGGTTAGTTTCGGTTTCGCTCCAGAATTAAAACGTGCCTCCTGGCGTAAACATTAAGCTAAATACCATTTTTGTTTTCAGGATAAAGAGGTCACTTGCACTCACAACACCCTAGCTTCCTAGTATTACCAGAAATAATTTGTGTCGCTCAGTGAAGCCAGCATACTAGACAGGCTCAGTAGCGGCACGCATCTCCAACCCTCGCTAAAACCTCCATTTTGGAAAATGAGTGGCGCCACCTATAGTGAATTGGAGTCACGAATATAGGGACCTGAACTGCCTCTAGTATACTCAAATGGTGATAGCCTTTGATGGGGCTGGTCTGAATATCAGAAAAGAACTGTACTTCTAACATATGTTCCAGCATATTCCCTGTTAAAGAGGGACCAGCAGAAATATTCTTCCGCCTGGCGGAAAGTCCTCCTCGCCCTCTTTCTTTCTTGTACTGTAGCACGGCGAGGAGAGGGGAAAGGTCTCCTTTTGCGCCGGCTTCTTTTGAGAGGATAAACCGAGAAAATCCCCATTTTGGGCGACGGGCGATGGGTGCGGCAGCAGCGACCTCGTGACTTACAGGTAGCTTCAGCTCCTATCGCGTAATCTGCCCCATTTTTTGGCGCTCACCAAGCCTAGCCCCTCCGGTGGAGGTTGTACGGAGCTGCAAGGCTCCGCCCGCGCAGTCACCGAATTTCAGCTGTCGAAGGTCTTTGGTTTAGCCCGTGGCAAAGTAAACGCATACTTGAGAGCTGCGATGCATCCCCGCACCTATTGAAGGAACGTTTCATAGATATTTTTGGTTGATCAAGGAGCTCAAAACACATGCGCGAGAAGTGGTGACTTGAATATGTAAGGATGACTTACATCTTCACAAAACATTCCATCTTCAAAAAAAAAAAAAAAAAAAAACGGCTGATCACGCTCAAACTTGCCTCAAATTGGGATTGATGGAAAAGAAAACGATGTACCAGGCGCGGGCAACTTCTAGAAGGTCTCTGTTTTCTAGCAGCGAGCACAAATATTGTGTGCGTAACTCACACTATATGATGGCCAACGAATGTAGGTGACATTTATATTTACGCATCCCAGCAACCACATTAGCTGAGAAGGCAGCAATGGTGTGTGTCGATACTAAAAAGTTTTATTGGATCGTCTTTAGCTCTTGGATAACCGCACCCTACAACAATATATAAGCTCTATAACCTTTCTGTGAGCATTCTTGATCGAGTGCGGCTATCGAAGCGTCTGGTGTTATAGTTCAACGTTGCTTAAATCGGCGCTACAGCACGTGCTGCCACTTTAAAGTATTTTGAGGCATTAAAAATAAAAAATAACTCAAATGTAGCCGTTTTTTTTAACATGATACGCGTTTGTAATTTGTCTTTGCAAACACATTTTAGGTATACTGCCACACAGCTAGCACGGACAAACTATTGCCGATCTTTCTGATTTTGTTTTTTAGAAATAAATGATATTCAGAAAACTGTCAATGCAACTATCCAACCTAAGTGGCAGAGCTCAGTGCTAGACAATACATGTTGCTGGGCAGAAATAGTAAAAATCGCCGATGTCGCGTTCGGACTAAAAGTGCCACGTAATGCACGCGTACCGCTACAAGTGCGTCCTGACATTTCATCGAACGCCGTTTCATCGAACGCCGTTTCATAGAAGCCGTTTCATCGAACGCCTTTTCATCGAACAACGTTACAGTCTGTAATACTTTGGAATTTACTTTAATTTTATACACAACTTCATCTAATTCTCTCTTTTTTCTTCTTTTTTTTCTGTTTTTATATCACTGGGTGCAGTGGCGAGATAAGTTCCATCGTGAACATATCCTGCTTCGAGAAGAAAGTCTCCATGAAACAATGACCCCTCTCCATGAGACATGAAACAATTAAAAATGAGAGAAAAACAGAAAGCACAGACGCTTAAAAGTGTTTTAAGTGTCTGTCCTTTATTTGCAACGTTGTGGTTTCAGTCATGCATGTACATGACTAAAGCTTTTCAGTAAGTCGCATACCCAATTGTTTTTATTTCTCTTTATGCCAATTGCTTTTATTTTTTTAGTAATTCGACACCACCTTCAAAACAATTTCACAAGTGACTACTTTAGTCTTCACAAATGAAAGGTGAAACATCTATAAAGCACTATTATGCCCCAAAACTCGGCACAGAGCCATAACAGAGAAATTCGATGAAACGGCCCTTGGCGATTCGATGAAACGGCGTTTGATGAAACGGCGTTCGATGAAACGACGTTCGATGAAACGGCATTCAATGAAACGGCGTTCGATGAAATGTCCGGTCATTTGGTGAAACGGCTTTCGATGAAATAGCGAAAAAGTGATGTTCAGGCTTGGTCGGAGATTGCTACGGTTACACTCGTACGCTTTTTCAGCTCTATCTCGCATAAATAAGCTTCTTGCTCAGATAAAGAGGGGCATCTGACTTTTCGCTCATTTTGGCGTTTAGCGCGACTTTTAACAAGTTCTAAAACAGACAAAGCAAAAGTGATTTAATTAGCTCAGGATTATAGGTTGAGCGAAACATTTACAAAGTTCGAGGTTCCCTGAGTCGTCTTTTGTATTCAATTCCCCCTCCCCTCACCACCACTTCCTTCCTTTAAATAAACAATGTAGATTATTTTATGAACCACAAGTAATAGAGCGTACTCGCAAAACGTCTATTTGGCATAAGAAAGCGTAAGAAAGGCTTTATTTAAATGTTCGAGCAATGAACTGCTTTTCTTACTGTGCGTGACACAGATAGCACGAACACAATTCATATTGACATTTTTACGCAAGGGCCATGCAGAATTTAGTGTATAAGAACAAATTGATGCCTCGTAAGTTGGTGCCCAACGGAAGAACTCTTTACCGAATTGCTTGTTTAAAAATAACAACTTCTCAAACATAAAAATAAAACAAAATAACACCACTTTTTGGGGGGCCACTAAATTTACTGATTCACTCTGTTAGCGTTGATCGTGCAGCGGTGTGCGTACATTACGCGACACTGTTAGCGGAAACACGACATCGGCGCTTTTGGTATTTTCTTAAGCAATGTATCGACTCGCACTAAAATCTACTGCTTAGGTTGGATACTCGCATTAACAGTTTCCTAAACATCATTCACTTCTAACAAGAAAGAAAAGTGGGAAACACCGGCGATAGTTTGTTTATGCTAACTGCGTGGCGTAGGGTACCTAAAAGTTTTTTTTACAATGTTAAATAAAATTCTGTGTCACGTTAAAAAAATTGTCTGCTTTTGCTTTAGTTTCTTTGAGACACCACAAATACTTCGAAGTGGTGGCCCGTGCTATGGTACCGATACAAGCAACGTTGAACCATAACACGACACGCTAGACTCGCCAAAAAGGGTTTTAATATTGTCTTATTTGCTCCATAGCCGCACTCGATGAAGAATGTAAACAGCGAGTCTAGCTTACATTTCGTTGTGGGGTACGGACCGCACGCTTATCCAAGTGGCTAAAAGCGACCCTCTAAAACTTTCTAAAATTGACATCCACCCTTGATGCCCTCTCACCTCAGCTGGTTGTTGGGAATGTGTAAATATGAATTTCATACATTTTGCTGGCCATCATGTTCTGCGAGTTAGGCACAAAACAGGGCATTTTAGTAAATCGTTTTCAAAGGCCCGCTGCCACTTCAGGCGCGCGCTTCAGAGAATGCATCGAAGTGGCAGCGCGAGCGTCCGCTAAATATAGCGTGGCCTGAAAACATAGTGTGCTAAAGTTCTCCAATAATTTGTGCTCGCTGCTAGAAAACAGAGACCTTCTAGAAGATCCCCGCGCCTGGTACATCATTTTCTTTTGCATCGATCCCAATTTGAGGCAGGTTTGAGCGTGATAAGCCGCTTTTTTGAAGATGGAATGTTTTGTGAAGATGTAAGTCATCCTTACATATTCAAGTCACCACTTCTCGCGCATATGTTTTGAGCTCCTTGATAAACCGAAAATATCTATGAAACGTTCCTTCAATGGGTGCGGGGATGCATCGCAGCTCTCAAGTATGCGTTTACTTTGCCACGGGCTAAACCAAAGACCTTCGACAGCTGAAATTCGGTGACTGCGCGGGCGGAGCCTTGCAGCTCCGTAAAACCTACACCCGAGGGGCTAGGCTTAGTGAGCGCCAAAAAAAATGGGGCAGATTACGCGATAGGAGCTGAAGCTACCTGTAAGTCACGAGGTCGCTGCTGCCGCACCCATCGCCCGTCGCTCAGAATGGGGATTTTCTCGGCTTATCCTCTCAGAAGAAGCCGGCGCAGACCCCTCGCCTCGCCGTGTTACAATACAAGAAAGAAAGAGGGCGAGGAGGACTTTCCGCCAGGCGGAAGAGTATTTCTGCTGGTCCCCCTTTAAGGGAAAAAAATGCGTAAAGAACAATTTTTGCTGCCAAAATGTGTTTGACTTGGTTTGTCATTCACTTATATATCTACAGTAGCTGCGTTAGACATTGCCATGAGCATCATGTTAGTTAAAAGACAAATGAAGAACTTCATTGTTCAGAGAACTGCCTCTTATCATAATTCATATTGTCTGTCCCTTTGCAAAAATTTTCGGAATCCGGGTTGTTCAATGTTGGAAAAAGTGGGCTACCTTTGACTATTCTTTTCAAGGAGAGCTGTCACTGCATAATTATAACCTCATACAAGCTACACACTTTGTAAGTGGCATCATGGTAAAATAAGAGTGCACTCAACAACATCCTGGTGACCAATAAATAACTGTAAGCGCCGGCACTGCATGTTGTCACATCTGGTACAAGCTACATACTCTGGGAGTGCCGTCGTAGTGGGAAATTGAGAGAGTGCTTTCGGAAAGACTTCTTACCCCGTTTGCTCGACGTAGCCAGTTAGTTTCAATGCAGAGTGTATTGTTCCATGTACTTAAGGGGTTGTCCTTCCCTGCCTTTGTGCAGACGCCTGCCTGCACAACTCTGAGAACAAGCGCAAGTCGGACGAGCAGCTGGAGAACAGCACAGCCAAAACGAAGCGGCTGGAGAATAGGCAGAAGTGCTCGGACTTGATTGTGCTCGGCCTGCCCTGGAAGACCTCGGAGCAAGACCTGCGCCAGTACTTCGAGTCCTTTGGGGAGGTCCTCATGGCACAGGTGGGCTGCCCATGGGAAAGGCTGGAGGTTTGGGTTACGGAGGCCACTGAAAGGCTGAGCTGGTACTACCTTTGAAGTTGAGGGACCTCGTAACTCGCGTGAACCCCTGGGCCAATGAACTGATCAGTGTGGGCCGGTTTGCTGATCAACGCAAGTATCTGTGTCGACGGTTAACCCACCCGCAAGAGGGGATTTTCAGGTCATACGACGAGCTTTGTGGTCAGAAAGTACCTAGTGTTCCAGCCGATTTCCCTCAGCATACGTAAGACTTGCCTGTCATTTTCTTTAATTCTCGCTTAAAGGGGCCCTGCAACAACTTTTTGACTGGTTTTAATTTGCACCGAACCTGAGCTCACTAAACGTAATAAAGAAACTTTTTTTTTTTTTTTTTCAAATTTTGTTTTATTTTAAAAGTTATAGGCAAATTAGAATTACAAAAACAAGCAAAAAATAACCTCCTTCATGACGTCGTAGGTCCTGGCTTGAGTGGCCGTGAACTAGAGGAGGAGAAGTGAGCTCATCTAGCGCTCACGGCTGCCGCACTCCGTGTCGACGACTCGAGAGGGCGCCACTAAAGCACGTGTTGGATCGGCTGTATGAAGCATGCGGCCAGGGCGGCTCGCATTGCATTTGCTGCGCGATTAAAGACTGATTCGGCATAACACTTCATTGGCCATAAACGACAGCAAACACGGGGTAAAGATCAGTTCAGAACGGGAGCCACTTCGCACTGCCATACCGCCAGAGGGCCAAATCGCCAGCCAAGCCCACGCCGAGAGCCTTCGGAAAGCTCGGAACCGGTCAGATCCTCGAGCCGGTATACGACCGCAGCGCTGCCGCGTACATCCGGGACCTTTCTATGCTCGCCATTCGTGGGAGCGTCATCCCACTAGCCCTTTCTAGTGTGTGCCGTTTTTTCCGCCGCTTGGTGGCGGGTTTGTCAACGGGTCTTTTCTTGTTTCCGTACTTTATAAACTGCATTTATTTCTTTTCTGATCTAAAATACTGAACAAAAACTACTTTCATACATAACTGAAACGGTTCGCAACACTTATATTTGGTATTTCGACTAAAAAGAAGCTTTTAGTGGCTCTGACCAGTAGTAAGCCCAGGACCAAAGACGCCACATTTTGCGCGCTTTCAGTACCGCGGGTCGCCCTCGTCGGTGGAGGAGGTTTCCGCGTCGTCCGGTTAAAATATGACGCACTGATATTTAGTTACTTTCTCCGTGCTCACTGGCTTGCCCGAACCCCAAGAGACGTGGAAAACGCAAAAAAAGGTAGACGCTTAAATATGATTGCGGGCCCCTTTCAGACAATGCCCCCTAGATTGAACTCTATGTGCTGTTCCTGATATGCATGTATGGAGTTGATTTCACTTACGTTTTGAGTCTCTTAACTGTTTTTCTGACTGTGAGATCATGCTTAATTCATCAATGCGAGGATGAACTTAAGGCAGCCTTTTGTCTGGAATGCTAGGTACCCTTAGTTTCTCGTCCCCACATAGCCAGTCACGTGAGCTCAATATCCCTCTTGTAAGTGAGTTAACCGCCAGGAAAGATGCCCTCATTGATCAGCAAACTGACCCTGGGGTGGTGTGGCCTCAGTGTGTTGTGTCTCTTGCTCTTTGTTGACAGAAGGGCTTCACTGCATAGTCTGGGGTTTAAAACTTTATCGGGTGGAAAAACACAATTCTTTGATGTAGTTTCCTTCTGCGATGGATCCGATACCCACATTATAGCCTACCACTTCGTTGAGAACCGTACTCATCTTGAGAGCTGCCCCAGATGCAAATCAAAGCTCGCATCGGCCTTGAAGTCGGTGGCACACCACTTTGCACATTGACTCTTATTAACAGTACAACTTCAAACATTTTTGCTTCGCCCGATTGCTTCAAGGAGGAAGGCCTGGAGAAAGCAGGGCAATTTGTAAGCCCAGTTTCCGCAGACTTCTCCACGCAGCATCGTGAAGCACGTGCAGCGCCACCCAGGGCTGACGCCGGGTGTCTGTGCCACGCAGGTGAAGAAGGACCCCAAGACGGGCCAGTCGAAAGGCTTCGGCTTCATCCGCTTCTCGAGCTACGAGTCGCAAGTGCGTGCCCTCTCCAAGAGGCACCTGATCGACGGCCGCTGGTGCGATGTCAAGATCCCAAACTCCAAAGTGAGTGCTCAAGTAAGGCCAGCCCTCCCTGTTTCTCTCCCCCCTCTCTTCTCAGCCCCTCTCTCGTCGGGGCGCCGGGGCAGGGTCCACTCATTCCTCGAGGTGGAAAACCGGGGCACGGTTCAGTTTCATGCCCCGTAACGGTTCGTTCTTCGGCCACTTGACGTTCTAGTACCCGGTTCGCTTGGACAAGGCTTCTCATCCTCTTTTTTTTTTACGACTGCTATTCTATGTATGTGTATTAAGAAGACAGAAGAACAAAGAGCGCACTCTGGGGAAAAGCCTCCAGAGCCTCGTGGGTTTTAGCTCGCCTCTCCAAACTGCCGCTTCACCTCCTGTCATTGTAGATTTCGTCCTGTGTAAAATCCTCTCACTCATAATATCCTTGCAGTATATATCATCGTACCCTTCCTTTTCATTTGCGGCTTTTTTTTTTTTTTTTAAGAATTGGTTTGTTTAAATTGAGCTTTACCGATTGATTTCTCTACATGTCAAGCTGTGGTTTTGCACTCAGCTGACGTGCTTTATCAACCAGACTTTTTAAACTGGAAATGTCTATCTGTGAAATTTGGTAAATCGATTTGAAACCCATTTTTGTCCCTAGTTCAGATGGCTCTAACATCTAGCCGGGATATGTTTCGGCCGGCTCAAGAGATTATGTGCTTCTCCCTGAAAAATGTCGGAAGACTGTTCTACCACATGGTTTTCACATGTGAGGCATTTGTGAGGATTTGAAACATCCTGATGCCTTAATTGATTGCAGATCCGAGTAGAGAGTGTAGCTCCTGCTTTATTCAATTTGTGCACCTTGAAATACATACCGGGACAGCAGTGTCGAGCGTGCGGGCCGTTTTGTCTTTTGCAGCAATCAGGTCTATGTAAGCCAGGTGCTCTATTTCTTTGCTTCATTCCTCAATGGTTGTTTCTAGAAGGCGCACAGCAGAGAGAAGGGTATCGGGTATGTATTTGACACAACGACAATGGGGGATGCTCAGTGGTACGGGCCAAGGGAAAATCGTGGACTCCTTAGGGCATTCATCCTACGCAAAAATATTTTTGTAGTTGAATCGAACTTTGGCTGCGTAGAAAGAGAAGAGAGGGAAAGTTCTACTGCATGTTGGATTTGACAGTTGCTGCCATTAGTACTGCGACGTGTGCTCTCTTAGTAGAAGAGAGTTTCGTATCCAAGTTCTGTTTTGTCAGACTCTTTGGTTGTACGTTTTCCTCAACAAGGCGGCAAGTTCTACAACTTCTACTTCATTATTTGCCGAGTTATTTTAAAACTTTGTGTGGCTTTACCTTGAGCTGGCTGCCACTTCGGTAGATCTTTTCCAATTGTTGCATTGCGTCGTGGCTCTCGCGATCTTTCTTCAACATGCGTGTGAATGGTGGTCGTGCCAGGTCCATAGACGTAGCAAAGAGAGGATGCACGTGCGGACGTGTGGAGTAAAATCTGCACCAAAGTTTGGTGCGAGCTTCTTTCGGCTCTCCCGTGTCCCTTACTTGGGCTTCGCTTGCCAACCTGTCGTCCGAGTAAAATGGACACCCCGGTCGTTTTGCCCGCTGCCCTTTTCCATCAGGTTGTTCCGACCAGGTACCAGAAGAATGTTTCGGTGAGAGAGGGGGGGAGAGAGGGTGGTGGGGCTGCGAGAGAGCGGAGGAAGGCACCGGCATTCGGAAGCTTGCTGCGGAGAGCCCGGTGGGGTTGTGTTGGGGAAGCAAAAGATGTGACCCTTGCGACTGGTTGCATACTTTGTTTCACCGTGACTTGGCAAAGACCAAACGCAACGGCCCGTTCTAGCCAATCGGGGCAAAGCACGTGACGGCCTTTACCAAAGGCACAGGGGCGAGGGCGTAACCCAAGCAGTGGAAGAAGGGGAAAACAAAGTGGCAATGCAGGTGAGTTGGTTTATTCTCACACGTTATACAGGGCGTAACGAACGAGGACGGAGACAGGCAGGAAATGGGACGAGTGTCGGACAAGGACGGGCCAGCGCTTGTCCCGTCCACCGCCACAGCCTCCTTTATCCTAGGAAGTCCGTCAATTCCACGACGGAGGCATTGAGCGTGCGGCCGCCAGAAAAAGGCGAGGAGCAGCGCCGAATGGTTACACGTGTGGTAGCGCAAAGTCACTGCTGGAATAACCCTTCGGCCAGCGCCAATGATATGCGTGGTGGCCTTTTCGCGAAACAGCGGCAAACCGCAACAGAGAAAATAGAAAGGAGGCTGACTGGCACATGGAGAAACGGGAGAGGGGCGCAATAGAGGAGGGTTGACGCAAAACATTCTCCTTTCCCCGCAAAATAAAAAAAAACGAAAAGGAGCGCATTCATGTTTCCGGATTTTACCGCTGGGGCATTTGTTTGGCGTTACCAGAGAAAGCCCTGCTCTCGGATCTCCTTTCCCCTTTACAGTGGCCACATTCTTTCGCGATTTGACAACCTTTCTAGGAATAAAGGAGGCTATGCCACTGCCCACCTGCCCTCGTTAATTGTGCCCTATATCACCGATTTGAATGAAGAGGGATGGAAAGAACTCCCCTCTTACCTAGACCCTCTTTTATGTGTCCCAGACATTGCTTTTCTGCCCTTAGAAGATTAGTTCATCAGTCAAAATCAATACAAAAGGGGCTGTCACCTCTTGCCGGCCTGTTGCTCATGTAATCATGTGTCTCCTTCCGACGGGCCGACTGGCTCATTGGGGCTATGGTCTTCGCCGTTTGCCAAGTTACTGTGAGACAGAATATGGTGACCTCCAGTAAGTTGAGGCATTTTGTACACTGTTATCTGCTGTCCATTGTTGGCATAGTTTGCACGTAGAGTATAGCAGCGTGTAAGTTAATGAACTCAACTCTATGGGTGAAACAAACAGTGTTGCACTTTAAAGGGGCAGTGCAACGGTTTTAATGTTGAAAGAATTGCCAGTTTGCATTTTTTATATTGTTCATACAAGCCCAAGTGACCAAAAACGCGTCACCTTTCCCAAAAAAACGGCTATTCTGCTGCGTAATCGCAAGGCAAAAAACGAATTATTTGCCAATCTGCGGCCGCCTGTGGCGGCTACGGGAACTAAAATGACGGCGTCTCTGGGGGATACGCGGAAGTCAACAAACCCTGTCCCCCTCCGCTGCTACACTCGCTGTCAGCCCCATAGAGAACCGTCCTTTGTGTCCATCGCTTGCCGCGACCTTCGACGAGGCTAATCCTTTGAAAGTCCACAATCGCGGAGGAAGCGGCTGGGGTCTCTGAAGAGAGGGCCCAAGGGGAAACCACGTGAACCCCCAGAGACGTCACTCGAAAATCGGCGTGGAGAGTTGAGAGGCACTTCGACCTTCGATTTGTTTCATTTTTTTAAATAACAACTAGCGCTCGCAAGAAAATGCGGCTTTCGGTTTTTCGTTCCATAGGTGACGCAGATTAACTTCCGCACTTAACTGGCCAAAGTCTGAAAATCGTTGCACTGCCCCTTTAATGACGCCTAGCACCCTGGGTTGTCGATCTCATAGTGAATATGTTGATAGCAGTCTCCTTATGTGCCAAGAAACTGAGGAAGAGAAGGAGATGAAAGCATGCGGAGAGTTCGGAACACCGAGCTCTGGTTGGAATGATTGGTAGGTAGACACAAGGCTAGCTGCCTTTGTCTCAACTCAGTCTTCAAACGCGTCCGCACAGCGGTAGACACAAAGGAGCCTCTGACCATTTAAGCTTTGCATCTACCCACTAATCATTCCAGCCAGAGCCTGGTGTTCAGACGGCCCTGCATCAGTGTTTCCAAGGCTTTTTAGCGGTTATCAAGTCACATTAGCATATTTTCTGTCAGTCTGAAATGTCCTGCAACTTACATTTGTCAATCTCTAAGAGCCTAGTTTCTGTGGTAAGTTAGAGTCATGGGGTCGGCATTTTTGCTTACTTACAATAAGATTGTTGCAAGGATGATGCTTGTGACGCCATTGAGATGTCGGGGGCAGGCGCTGAAGCAGTGTCATAACAGTCGTTTTTGGCCTATGCCTGAAGTTTAGCAGTTTTCCAAAATTCCTTTTGCGTTTTTTTTTTTTAAATTTTTGTGTTCGCCACATTGCCTCTTGCGCTGTCATCTCCTCCTCTCCCTCAGTTTCTAGCTGTATCAAGAATCCTTTTTAGTGGTCGCAGCAATCCGTTACATTGAGATAATAAGCGTCTGCAACAGAGAAGATAACAAACTGGAGACATGGAAACAAAAAACAACGTACACAACACCGAGACGGTGTTGTGTACTTTTCTGTTTCCGTGTCTCCGGTTTATTATGTTGCCTTGTGTTCGTCAGCTCACCACGGCCTCAGTCATTTTTGAGTAATAGAGAACTTTCCTTTGAGTTGATAAAAACCCTATAACAGGGAGAAAATCTTGAATTACGGCAGCTAGAAATATCAAGAAGCATCAAGTGGTGCTGATTGGCTGGCCTGTGTGAAGTCTAGGCTGTATGTACCCTTCTTTATTAATGAGATTAAAGTTAAAATTGTACGAGCAAGTGTCATAACTGGAGATAGTGTGTGTATGTGCATTTCTCTTTGTAATCTGGAATTTTTTTTTAGGCTCGATTAGCATTTTCCGTGCATCTGTGTTTGTGCAAATGAAATCTCCCCAATGAAACTCCTCCAGTAAGGCTGTGGATCGTGAGCGTTTATCTCTTCCCAAATAGTATATAAACGTGAGCTTGAATAGATTGCGTGTCTTAGTAAGCATATACCAAAAGCTGAATTGATATACTAGTCAAAAAGTTGGTAAAGAGGTAGCTGTGCTATTGCAAACTAAAGGGCCAGCGAAAGATTTTACCAAGAGTAATACTCCGAGCCGGAAGACACAATCCCGAAAATTTTGACTTCTCTCAAGTTGTTTGAAAAAAGTACTCTAGCCATGCCTTAGACTTTTTGAGTCAGGTATCGCAACCACTCGACGATATGCGACCGGTGCTTTTTAATACGATGCGGTCTCTGCTTGACGTAATGGAGTCTCTGACCATTTAAGTGTTGCAAGGTCCCATCCACGACAAAAGCTCTGGAGGCTGCATCGAACAATATCCGAGGTCCGCCATGTCCGCATCCAATTTGTCGCCCGCAACCTCATGGGCCAGTTTTGGGGACGGGTTCCCGCGGCAGTGTTCATGCCCTGCGTGTGGGCGCAGGACGGCCAGGCGTCCGAGCTGAGCCGCAAGGTGTTTGTGGGACGGTGCACGGAGGACCTGACCTCCGACGACCTGCGGGACTACTTCTCCAAGTTTGGGGAGGTGACGGACGTGTTCATCCCCAAGCCCTTCCGGGCTTTCGCCTTCGTCACCTTCGTGGACCCGGACGTGGCCCAGTCGCTGTGCGGGGAGGACCACATCATCCGGGGCACGAGCATCCACGTCAGCAACGCCGTGCCCAAGAGCGAGGCGCCCCCCGGGGGCGGCCAGGGAGGGGGGGCCCCGTCGGGGGGCCACCCGGGGCACCATCCGCACCACCCACTGGGGCCCCACCCGCTGGCCGGCAGCGCGGGAGCCGGACGCCCGGGGGGACACCGGGGGGGCCACCTGGACGTGGGACGCCCCCCGGGGGCCCAGGGGGGTGGCTACGCGGCCCCGGGCCCCTTCCCCGGGGCGCACCACCTGGCCGCCCACGGGGGCTGGGGCCAGGGTGGGGCGGGGGGACATCCCGGCGCCCACCCGAGGGGCGCCGAGCTGCCCAACCTGGCAGCCCTGGGCAGCAGCCTGGGCATGGGGCCCCTCGGGGGTCAGGGGGGCCAGGGCGGGGGGGTGAACCCGGGCGGTGTCAACACGACGCCCCCCACCCTGGGCATGGGGGCCCTCAACCTGGGGGCGGCCACGCTGCCCCTCAGCTCTGCGGTGGTGGCGGCGCTGGGGCAGGCGGCCGGGTTCGGCCTCTTCGGGGGCTCCTTCCAGGGGGGCGCGGGGGGAGCAGAGCCCCCCGGGGGGGGACCCCCACCCCCCAACTCGGGAGGGGGACCGGTGGCCGGGGGCTCGGGGGGTTTCCTGGGCTGGATGGGGCAGGGGGGAGGGGGGCAGGGGGGCGGATCTGGGGACGGGGGCGCGGGGGGAGGGGGCCCCTGGCCCCAGCGGGAGGGTAAGCAGGGCTTCGGCATGTCGGTGTCTCCCTGAGTCGCCCGGGCATCCGTCGCCCCTCCGTCACGGAAGGGCGGCCGAAGGGTGCACGCCCGCCGGGGCTTCGAGGGGGGCTCCAGAAACGTCCGACCTCTATCGGGACGGGACCTCGCGTCGCAACGGTGCGCCTTCCTCGCCGTCCCGAGCCCCATGCCCGGAGCCCCAGAGGCGGCCTGGCCGGCCCCCGGGCGGGAGCGCTTCCCCGGTGGCTCTTCCCCTTTCTCCACTCCTGCTTTTACTTGCCGGGGCGATTGCAGTGTGTTCGGCATGTGGGTGGTGTGCTTGGTGGTGTGTGCTGGTTCTGAGCCTCCTTCCCGTCACCTTCCTCCCGAGTGTGCCTGGCATGCCCCTTCGAAGCCCATGCGAGTGTCACGTGTATTTAAGGCGTGTGTGTGTGTCTGGAGGTGTCTCTTCTCTCTTCTGCTGTACATACACATATTTAGTTGGAGGGTGCGTTGGTTTCTGGCACTCTTTCCCCTTTCTGCTGGTTTGGTCGACGGCCCGTCTCGGCCAGTTGTTTGTTTCCACAAAGTAGACTAAGGGCGTCCGTAGGCGAGTGCATGGGAGTCGTTGCGCAATTGAAGCGGGTGTGCTTGGACACAAAAGGGGTTGGGGCCAGGGGTAAAGGCGGTTTCGCCTTTACCTCCGCCTTTACCTCCGGGAGATCGGAGTAAAGGCAGTTTCCTCGACCGGTTCGTGGGGTCGGAGGAGCCCATCTAAAGGAATGTACCGAGGTCGGCCCGAGCGGGGCATGTTTTACCGTACCTGACGCAACACTGTCTTTCTGGGGCCCCTCTCGCGGAACCGCGGGAACAGGATGGCTCTCCGCACACGTCCTCTTTCTCCCGGTCACGAGTCTGCACATTGCAGTTTAAGGGCTCTTGACTCTTCAAACGCAAAGTTGGAGCCGAAAGTTTGCAGAGTGCACCTATTGGACTTGGCCGACTAAAGCATGGTGTCCTTGTTGCGAGAGTTCAGTCGGTGCGCTCCCTCGACCTACGTTCCGACCTTGCATTTGACGAGTCCAGGGCCCCAGCCGGCGGCTTCTCGCTAGTCCCTCCCTTCTCCCTCTGGAGGATACCTTCCTCCCCTCGGCTCCCCTTGCAGCTGGATGGTGATGTTATAGCAAAGCGGTCGTTCTTACAGTGTTTTGGATGTTGTGCCAGGGTGGTCTTTTGTGGGGACGGTTCCTGTTTTAAACTGGTCACCTTAGGCTCTGAAAACCACGCTTTTCATTTGGAGAGATATTTTCTCATGTCGAATTGTCAGTCTCTCCGTCAACCAAGCGTGCAGAAAGGGGGAGATGGCTTGGGAGTGGGTGGGGAGGGGTGTGTGTTGCATCATTGTTGCCGCATCACTGCGCTTGCTTGTGCTCGGGCTGAGGGGACTGTCTGGGGTGCATCTTTGAACTGAGGGGGTTGGTGAGAAGGAACTTCTGCTTAGCTGCATAGTTTACGTCGAGGAAAGACACACGTCCGCCTGGTGTACATGGCAGACGGCTTACCTGCGTCTGCCCGAGCTGGGGAGGGGGGGAAGGGGAGGCCTTTTCGCACCGCTGTCCAAGAGCGTCGTCGGCGTAGTACGCTTTGTTTTCTCTCGGTCGTCCCGTTTTTATATAATGGTCTTCTACCCGTGTTGTTTTCTGGCATGCATAACAAGTGTGTGGGTGTGTACATAGCGAGATGGATGTAATCATCTTCATTGGAGTCTGGTAACACCTGGCATTAGCACTTTTTCTTTCGAGGACGGGGTGACGAAACACTATGTGAGACGTGGAGAGAGCGTCGTGCAAGCTGTGTGCTTTTCTCCTATGCGTTTTTTTTTTTCCTTGTGGGGTTTATAAGCTGTTGTGTTTTAGCGGCCTCTGCTTTTTGGTGGGTTCTTTCGCCGGGCGGGCGGAGTGGAAGTGTGCCGTTTTTTTTTTTTTCGGGCGGCCGAGTGAATGGCGTGGTTGTCGAGGCTGATCTCGCCTCGGCCGGCACTCGTTAAACCGACACACACGGGTCGGACGTGTCTCGAATGTTGCGGCTACGGCCTCTGTTTCAAGGTGCTGTTTTGGCGTGCTGGTCTTGTGAAATGGCTTCTTTTTATGAGCCCCGCCCGGCGCAGGAACCCTCCCGGGAGAGGCTTGGAATACGAGTGGCGGGGTTACCTGTTGTTTTTGCTTTTTTTTTTTCCTTTCCGACTGGAGTCACGTAGGGCTCGCTGCTGCTCTTGCTGTAAAGTGAAAGTAACCACATACTATCTTTAGTTTGTTGCTGTGGGTGGAGTGTGTGAGTGTTGTGTATGACTTGTATGTGTGTTGCGGCGAACAAGGAAACGAATAAAAGCCGTTTCTGTATCTGACTCTTGCAGTGTGCTGTGTGGATGTTGCGGTTGTGGCCTGAATGATCATAAACGCGTTCTTTTGGCTTTGCAGTTTGAGAGCTTGCTTTGAGGTTCTGTGCAAAAAAAAAAAAAAAAACTTGATTGGATGTTTTTGTGTTTACCTTTTTAGCATTCACGTTCAGCTTCTCTCTCAGATAAAAATGGGTCGCTCTGGTTGGGGCATTCGGCATTGGGGGAGCTTTTTCACAAAGATATGAGTTAAAAGGATACTAGATGGAAAACATATCGTGAAATAACGGGCAAGCGCCCACTCAAAATTTCGAGATAATTATGAAAAAATGGGGGATGGGCACTTGTCCGGTCATCAACTCCACATATAAATGCACTGTGCATTATTTCTCAGACCTTACAAATTTGGGAATAGGCGCGTAATGTGGTATGGGCAGATGTACGGTATTCTACGGTAATTTTGGATTCAGAACATTGTCAAACTGCTGCAATGGTGTACAAAGTATGATCACAAATTGGGAGTGCTCCTTCCAAAACAGCATCTTTGAAAGCTGCTCCTTAACTGCCTCTAAAAGGTGTAATGAAAATTTCGTTACGAGTGGGCTGATTGTTGTACGTTAAGTGTATTGCACAGAAAGATAATTTTTTTACGCAAAACTCTTCTGAGACCTGTACTGAACAGTACTGCTCGGGTGCTGAATGGCTAAACCATTTGGCAAGCGCCATTTACTTTTCGGAAAAAATTGGTTTTAACCTGACTGTCGTTACGTGTGTATAGAATCTCGTGTACCTTGCAAGTGTATTACCTAAGTAAGTGCATATAATACAAGCCCATTATGTGCTCTGCAGATCTGTTTTCCATGTAACTTATTTGAAAATCTTGAGACTGAATGCTGATGTTGCTAATGCACTTGGTACAATTTCTAGTGATACCAGTGAGATCCTTTACAGGTAATTGCATTATACTGTCATAGTGTGCTCAAAGAACGTTTGGTCATTTTCCTGGAGACATCAGTCTACTCCCAGATAGGAGGTTGCAGCCCAGTGACAATGACTCTCAGGTAAGCACAGGTCCCTTATGTTTGTGTATATAGTTTATGCCCTTGTTTTCTTGCAGGTCCAAGCTAATAAGTTTTGTAGTATCGACTCACAGGGGTAATCATAGTTTTTGTATTATTCCCTGGGGGAAGAAAACTAATTGCATTTATTTTTATGCTTGTATTTTTATAATTCAATAAAGTTAGTGTAAATTTGGCCCAGAAATTAACAGTTTGAATGTATCGGTGTACTCCAGATTGGAAATTGCAGCCCAGTGACAGTGATTGTCAGATAAGCACAGGTCCTTTATTTTTGTGTGAAGAAACTGGTGCCAGCAATTAAATCGAGAAACATTTTTCAACCTTGCTGGTGGAGATATCTGATTTCACATAGTTTATGCCCTTACCTTCTTGTCCAAGCTAATAAGTTTGGCAGCAACTGGTAGATTTTGTGTTATCCCCTCGGGAAAAGAAAACTAATTGCATTAATTTTTGTTTGTATTTTTGTAATTCGATAAAAAGTAATGTGAAATTAGCCCAGAAGTTAACAGTTGGAATGTACAGAAAGAAAAAAAAAATATTTTGATGCCAAATTGAATGTGCATGAATGTCTTGAGCAGCATAAGCACAAAACGTCTTGTAGACATCTTATTTGCGGTTTTTGCTTGATATCTGAAGAGCAGGGTTCATACGTATGTACAGTTTGGAGGACCATTGCCTTTATTCTTGATATCCAGGTTGCTTTCCACTCTGCTCGCCTGTGACTTTAAAATGTGGTATTGCTCTCCACTTAGCCCTTACTAGAGCAGATGTGATATTGAATTGAAATAATTTTTTCTTACCCTAGGTGAAAGACTACCGCATTTAAAACTCCCCATTGGATACGTGATGAGTAGCAAGTTTTGCATGCCTGTGCTTCTCTAAAGCATTAAATGAACTTTAATTTCTCATCAAGATTTTATGTAATCCTTGGATAGTGAGAAATCTTTTGTACTATTTTTGAATAAAAAGAATTCCAAGGACTGTAATACAGATTCAAACTACAAGATTGCTTGATATATCTGAAGTTAGCAGTGGTTTTGGCTTTGCAGTGTTTCCAATCGTTCCAATAAGCAGAAGTTTAGTTTTGTGCAGTTTGTGCTACACATTGTGCTATGCACATTGTGCTCGCAAGGTTTTATCGCCAAATTTGGCTTCACCTCAATCATATGTGCCTCTTTCTGGATGGCAGCTTCTCTGCAGTGCTCTTAAGAGCGACGTACTTGGCCAAAAGCTTTGCTGTGATCGACCATCCGCTGTGGCCTAACACTCGGTATGATATCTTTAGGGACTGATACTGTTTCCGTCGACGGAAATGTAAGTAATATATTGCGCCAAGATACCACCATGGTCTTTGGTTTTACCAGTGTTGGGAAGTACCCTAATTACATTGCACCTAAAATACTGCTTCAAGTATGTTTGGAAATCGTGTACTTTAAGTACATTCTCCGAGTATGTACTTCTGCTTTACTTGAAGTATTTTTTTCTGGTACTTTATGCGGAAAGTGTTTAAGGGGCACTCAAGTAGATTCTGAGATTGTCTATTTACCGTCATAGATCAATCCATGGGCTCTAAGCATCCTAAAAAAACCAAAGTTACATTCAAGGGCGGCCGATTTTCCTATTAAAAATCCAACCAAAGATTCTGCCATGCCCCCTTTTCCGCGCCATGGTGCAGACACCAGTGGGTGCTACTAGATGGGAAGACAGCAGGGGAGGGCACACAGCAGCCAATCACGGGTGACGGCTTCCCGGCGGCCTAAATTTTTGAATACACGCGTCTCCGAAAGATTAGTCTGCCGGAAAGCCGTCACCCGTGATTGGTTGTCGCACGCCCTCCCCTGCTGGCTTCCTGTCTGTGGCAACCCCTGGTGTCTGCACCACGGGACATGGCATGATCTTTCATTGGATTTTTTATAGGGAAATCGGCCACCCTTGAATGTAATTTCGGAATTTTTAGGATGCTTAGAACATATAGATTGAGTTAGGACGGTAATTAGACAATCTCGAAATCCACGAGTGCCCCTTTAACAGTTTGCTGCTGCCGCCTAGGCGTCAATAAGTAACGTGGCGGAGGACAATACTTATTAATAAAGGAAAAAGGAGTCTGTGTGATGTAGACCGTCAGCATGTTCAGACGTCTGTTCATTTTTTTCCCACACTTAACAAAATGGCGGCGACATAGAAAAACACCATGCCTAACAGACGGCAGGATTGAAGCGTTCGAGGGCGGAGGTGACGAATGGTCTGCATACGTGGAACGGTTTCGCGAATTTTTCTCTGCCAACGACGTTCCCGCTGCAAAGAGATCTATCTTCCTGAGCTCCTGCGGCCCAAAGACGTACTCCTTGTTTCGGAACCTGGTGAAGCGCCACGAGACAAGACACTGAGCAAGACCCTGGCCATTCTTGGCCAGCGTTGCACCCCTACACCATTATTTAGTGTTCAATGCTTCTATTTCAATTCAAGGGCATGTTACGAAACCGAATCTGTCGGTGACTTCATTGCGGCACTGAAAGCTTATCGGAGCACTGTGACTATGGTGGTGAGCTAGAGAGAATGCTTTGGACAGAATATATTTGTGGCATAAATGACGCTGCGACTTAAACTCGACTTCTTGAAATTCCGGACCTCACCTTCGAGGTTGCTGTTCAAACTGCATGCGCCAATTCAAGGGCACGTTACGAAACCGAATCTGCCAGTGACTTCGTTGCGGCACTGAAGAGCTTATCGGAGCACTGTGACTATGGTGGTGAGCTCGAGAAAATGCTTTGGACAGAATAGTTTGTGGCATAAATGATATGGTGCGACTCAAACTCGACTTCTTGAAATTCCAGACCTCACCTTCGAGGTTGCTGTTCAAACTGCATTCGCCATGGAATCTGCAAAGAAGGATGCTCGTGACCTCTGTCAAGCTAGTACAAGTGTCCTCTCCACGCACGAGGTAGTGCATGCGGCCAAAGGCACATTGTGTTATCGCTGCAGACAAAAAAAAAAAAAAAGCCACTTGGCATCGCAGTGCCGACACATCCATTCCACGTGTCATTACTGTCAAAGGTGGGGTCGCATGTCTGCTGTGTGCAACTCGGAAAAAAGTGGGAACCCACCCCCGTTCATAAGTTTCTGGAAAAGCTCATCAAGGTTCGCCAAAGTCGCCTTCATGAGCTCAGGTGAACATACTCCACATGTTAGGTTGGGGAAACTGGCGCGTACGACGTGGCACCTTGGTATAGCATTGACAGTACTGCTTTTTCTGGTCACCGTTGAACTCTGCGGAAAGCCAACTACCATGGAGCTGGGCACCGGAGCGAGCATTTCGGTGATGCCTGCAAACAAATTTCAAGCAGAATTTCCTAATGTCAGGCTGGATTCTTCGATTATCCTTCTGCGACAACTTTCTGGAGGCCTCGAGCAAGTCGGAGGCAAGGCAGATGTCAACGTTAAGTACAAAGGTCGCAATGAAGTACTTCCGCTTTTCGTCACCTCTGGAACTTTACCTACGCTACTTGGCTGCAACTGGTTTCAAGCTTTGGGCCTGAGCCTCGAAGGACTTAGGCCAGTGAATATCCTTTCTAACGTTACGGACCTTATAGGTTGGTATTCTGCTGTTTCCGAAAAAAGTTTGGAGACGTTCAAGGGAATTTCTGCAAAAATCCTTGTGGTGCCAGATGCTGTTCCCAAATTCTGCAAGCCCTGTCCACTTCCATTTGCATTATGTGATGGTCACCCAAGAGCTCCAGCGGCTTCAGTGTGACGGTGTTATTGAGGCAGTGAAGACGTCAGACTGGGCAGCTTTCATTGTTTCTGTTCAAAAGGATGGTTGAGTGCATATCTGAAGATTTTAAAGTGAGAGTCAGTCCTTTGTCTCTTCTTGAGACTCACCCAGTCCCACTTGTCGAATAACTGTGGGCTGTTTTGTCAGAAGGAGACAAG